TGGTAGAAACTGATTTCACGTTTTCGGAAAGTCATAAATCCTTGCTCCTTTAATAACAGTTCTCCAGAAAGCTAACACCAGGAAAAATAAATATTAGCTACATTTTTGTGTTTACTACATGAGATTATAGTATTTTTAAAAAAATTTGTTTATTATTCTTTGAATTTGCTGTGTCTGTGAATGTATGGTAAGAAAACTGTACATTATTAATTCATTAACATGTCCTTCTGTTCCATGCTGGATAATGTTGGATACACAAAGGTGAAGTAGCTTACAACAGTATGAAAGTGATTAGATGAATAACGCAAATAACAAAAGACATGATGTTATTATGATTAAGTTGAAGTCCAGATTAAGTTCTATGAAATATTGGGAACTGACTGATCACACACTCTTGAAGAAGCTGAGTGGGTTTCCAGAAGGAAAGAAAAGTAGGCTGGGTTTTTCTGTGCTGGACTGAGACAAGCATTGAAGAGGGGGCGGGGCATCAGAAACAAGGGTTGTGTCATGAACCAGTCTCTGAGTTGGAAAAGCATGGAGCACATTCAGAGAGGAACAAATACTGTAACTCTTTTTAGCGGTGGAATGGAGAGAGCATTCCACATGCGGTTAGTGGCAAAAAGGCTTTAATGAGAATGTGGGGTTGGATAAGGGAAAACAAAGGAATCAAAAGAGTCCCTAGAAACTCTATGTAGATAATTTAAATCACATGGCAAGAAAAAAAATGTTTTTGAGATTAAATGATAATATAGTTGGTCATTGTTATCTAAAACCAGTTTATTTTGTAACATGTAGCAATGATATGGAACACAGATCATTTACCATGTACAAAGAAGTCCACAAAATTATTATATTTAACTTTCATGACAATGTTGCAAACTAGAAATCATCACTGCCATTATAAAATAGGAGAAATTAGGTCCCAGAGAGTCAAGGGTCTTTTATAACTTCAGAGGTCTCAAAACTGGTGAAGCCATCATTGGGTCCTAGTTCACCTTTTAACATGCCACACAGCTAAGTGATATGGCACAATGGTTCAGAGAAATTTCAGTGAAAGAATCGCATCTTTATAAATAGTTCACTCAAATGAAATAAACAAGGGGACTAGAACCAATAATATTGTGATAAGTTTGCATAGTGACAGATGATTAATAGAATTAATGGGGTGGGTGATTACATTGCAAGGTATAAAAATGTTGAGTCACTATATTGTGTACTTGAAACTAATATGACTAATATAGTATTGCACACCAACTACATTTAAATAAAAATAAAAATATATATGAGATAAGCAAGGGAGACAAAATAAACAGAACGTGTTTTATTGCTATAAACACCTTGCTATAAATTTTGACAGCCTTTTTTCTCGGGATCTTTTTATTAGAGGATTATCATTGACTTTCCAAAAGTTTAAAAGGGAGAATAAAGAGCAAAGAATCAATGGGGGTATTACACAAACAGGCAACATTTTATGATTTCTCTAAATGACACTTCTTTCAAAGAAAAAATATTTGCAGTAGAAGGATTATTGTTTTCACTTCTAACAGAACAGCTTCTAGTCATATATTAAGCAGAGGATAAAATCCTTCTGTTGGGCTAAAAAGCATTAAATGCTTTACCCGAAACTCATTGGTAAATAATCTGGAAATTCTTTGGGGGAGAAAACTACAATTCACGTAAGCTGCAATGAAAAATTCAGTAAGGCTACATGAGGCTAGAGATGGGAAATGCAGCCTCCTGTATTCAAGGCTCCACTTTACCTGCTCTGGATCTAATGCTTCCCTTGGCTTTATTCTCATTTCTGTTTTGTTTTTTAAATTGTTTCCTTGGTAAGCAATACATCTTTTAAAATGTTAAGAATTCAAAAACTAACTCAGTCTTCAAAGTGAAATTAAATCAGTGGCTTATATAGCATAATATTTTCCATATTTCCCTTGCCTTATTAATATAACCATCATTCTATTAGCTTTAACTGTTGCTGAAGATGTAGCAGCTGTCTTCAATGAATACTTCCATCTATAATTACCCATTATTTTTTCTTCTGAGTTCAGCTAATACAGTTCTTACCAACATATATGAAAAATTTAAATGATTTCTCCCAAAATGCATTACCTTTTTCTTATCTCCATTAAATTCCATCTGTCATCATGTTGCAGTCTTACACTTTGATTAGATCCTTCTGGAGTTTTTAACAATCCTCAATAGCTTTTTACTAACCTAAAAAATATCACGGTGTTTTATAGAAAAACTTTTTAACAGTTATGACTTTTTCCCATCCTTGCCTTTGTGTATATATTTGCTATTAGTATTGTGTATACATAAAAATCTGTTAAGTGTGATGCTTCTGCAATGAAAAAGCATACACACTTAAGCAAAAATAAAGAATACAAAAGAAATAAAATCAACTCTGGAAATCTTTTACTGCCTTTTTGTGCAGTATTAACACATAAGTGTCTCCTAAGTAATATCTATGAATCACCACTAGAGGAATTAGGAGAACTCACTGGCAATTGGGTCTTCTACCAAAAATTGTGAGTATCTGAGAATCCCATTATCTATGCTTTCCAAATCAATGGAAATAATTTCAGTGGGAAAAATATCTGCTCTTTGCTCTTATTTTTAAAGATGTTTTAAGTAAAACTGTCACTATATTATTTTCTACTAGGAGTAATTTGATTTCTAAGGCACAAATTGATTATCTGGCTATTAAGAACACCTAAATAAAAATCAAGGAATAAAAGTAACTGTTTCTTTGAAGTTTGTTTTAATCCAGTATAGGCGGGAATTTACTTAGTTGATTTAGTTTCAACTTTTAGGATTACATTTCTAGTTCCTAGCCAGAATCCCAAATGCAAAAATAGCTTCTTAAAGTTGGAAGGAACTAAAGGTCATCCATCTTAACCTCCCACTCAATGACACCATCTCTTTTATTTATGCATTTACTGGAAAAATAGTAAGTGAACATCCATTCTGTTTTACGTCTGGGAATATGAGCATGAATGAAACAGACATGGTTCCTGTCCTTTTTGAAGCATCCTTCACCAGTGACCATACTACTGGGCTGGAGTCCTTCCTTTCACAGGGAATAGTTAAACTTAAGTGCAGTTTATTAAGGGCTAATTATTTCAGACATCATGCTAAGTGATTTCCCTATGCCTAATAAAATATTAATATTCTACAAGGCTACTTATTCCCATTTTAAGGAGGAAAAGATTAACATTTAGAAAGATTGTTGATTATGCCCAATATTTTGCAGCCAATAAATAAATGAACTAGAATCCAGGTATATCCCAATTCTAAAACCTTTTGTTTTTAGTATGTCATTGCCTTTGGATACTAATATTTGATCATAATTCTACCTTTCATTTATGTGCAGTATAGGGTAAATGGAGGCAGTCTGGCTTCCTCACCCAGGTGTCTGGGTAACTAAGGGAAGCAATTTCCCACAACTTTGAAGGGGTCTGATAAAGTAATGTTCTTATAGCCTTGAGTCTGGGTCTCATAGCCTTGAGACTGGGTCTGATAAACAGTTCCCGTAACATGAAGTGGACTCGCATGTGCAAAATTGTGCTGTGTTACTTAACAGTTTGACCTTTTGCTGGCTTTGCTTGTTCTAGTACTTAAGAAGGTAGGGGCTTCCCACTGTGAGCACAGACATAGACACACAACTTGTAGCCTCTGTGGCTCACTCACCCTTGATTAAGGCATGTCAAGCATCCCCAGGGCTCCGTGCACTTTCTTCCATCTACCTGAGTCTTGAGTTGACTTGCCCAGCCTTGACAGACTGCAACATAATTGGCGACATTGGCAGGATTTTCACAGTACAGAAATGGAGGAGTCCTCCAGGGTCTGCTGAGGGAAGCCTTAATGGGTGGCCAGCTACCGGGATGTGGCAAGCCTCCTGGCATTGTGGGCCCCACCTAGGGAGTGGCCTGATTTCAGAGGCACACCTGACACCATGGAGAAAGCCCTAAGGGAGATTGGGAAGACCCTAGAGTGGCCCAGCACCCATGCAGCCATGGGGGCTACGGGCTGGGTGTTTCTTTCAGCTTTGTGAGCTGAGGCAGAAGCCATGCTTCACAATGCAGCAAACCTGCATTTGGGGGCCTGTTGGGGTACTGGAGAGCATTTGTGCCCGACCTAACCCAGGTCATTCATCACTTGTATACTCTGGTGAAAAAGGGGGCAAACTGGGACTGGATCCCCACTTCAGAACAAGCATTCCAAGAAGCAAAGTGCATCATTAAGCACATCCAGACCTTGTATGCTCTGGATCTTGCTAGACTTTGTGAGCTGGATGTGTATGTGACACAAGAAGGCTTTGGATGGGGTTTATAGCAGTGATCAGAACAGCTATGTCAACCTGTGGGTTTCTGGTCCCGACTATGGAAGGGAGCAGAGATACAGTACTCTTTGATTGAAAAGCAGCTGGCTGCAGTCTATACTGCTCTATTAGCCATGGAGGTTATAAGAACTGCCTCCATGACAGTTAGGACCACGTATCCCATTGCAGGGTGGATCCAGGACTGGTGGTCAAGCCTTGTAGTGGGAAAGCTCAGACACCCACATTGGCTACATGGGAGGCTTATCTGCAACAAAGAAGTACTCTGTCCACTAGCCCCTTATGGGCAGAGCACAGGAAGTGCTAGGTCCTGTCACTTACATAGATGAAAAATCTACTGTTCCTGTCCCTGTGGAAGAAATGGAAGCTAGCCCCTTCCATGAAGTGCAGGAACCTATTCCCTCAGATGCTTAATACACTGATGGGTCCAGTAGGGGTCAGCCTGTTGCGTGGATAGCTCTAGCCATTCAACCAGAGATAGACATAATCTGGTTTGACACTGGTGTGGGACAGAGTAGCCAGTGAGTGGAACTCTGAGCTTTGTGGCTCATTAGCTACTAATGAGGCACCACCCCTGACTATTTGCACAGATGATTGGGTGGTATACAGGGGGCTAATGTTATGGATTTCTACATGGCATACAAATAAATGGATGGTTATGCATAGGCCACTGAGGGGGCAGACATCGTGGCAAGACTTACGGAAGTTAGGCCACCAGAAAGAAATCACTGTGTATCATGTTACTGAACATGCACCTCTTGCTTCCCCTGGGAATGATGAGGCTCACGCTCTAGCCAAGGTTCAGTGGCTAGAAATGATGCCTGCCAGTTCCTCAGGAAGGCAAGTAGCTCAGTGGCTACACCATTGCCTCTTACATGCTGGACAAAAGACTATGTGGTCCACTATAAAGACTTGGGGGTTACATCTGTCACCTTAGCAGAGGTAAGAGAAGCTTGTGAGACCTGTGTTGTCTGCTCATGGGAGCATCCCTGGAGGCCTGAGGGAACTGCTGGGCAGGTGGTGTGGGGAAGGGTACCACTGGCCTGGTGGCAGGTGGATGTAATTGGGCCCCTACCTAGTTCAAAGGGATATAAGTATGCTATTACAGGTGTAGACATGGCCACAGCACTCTTAGATGCTTATCCCACACTGCATCCAGATCAGAAAACAGCAATAGCTGCCCTTGAGCTGTTATATGTTGCTTATGGGTGACCCTTAATCACTGAAAGTGATCAGGGGACACATTTTACTGGAGCCTTGGTACAACAATAGTCTTGAGACTTGCAGATTGACCGGAAATTCCATGTGGCCTATTACCCCCAAGCCACTGGGATGATTGAACAGTACAATGGTCCCTTAAAGCAGGGCCTGCAAGCTGCGGCTGCCACTTCCATGCTGAGGGGATGGACGAAACACTTACGGACTGTCCTCCAGACTCTAAATGAGAAGATTTGGGGGACAGGGCCCAGCTCCAGTGGAAGTTTTGCTCCACTGGACTGCAGCTCCAATTCATCTACACATACAGACTAAAGATGCTTTGCTGAAACCATGCATGGGGAAACAAGGAAATATTCTCTTGCCTGCTCCAGATCTGGAGTGAGGGCAAACAGCCACTTGGCCATGGCCTTGGGAAATAAAAGCCCCTCACATGTGTTGGGTGGCTCTTGTTGCCCCTTGGGGACAAGGGGTAGAGAGAAACATGCAAATAGTGCCCTGGGTGATTGGGACCTGTCCCCCAATCTTAAAGGTAACAATCCAGAGCCAGCAGACCACAAAATGTTTCTTCGTGGCACCTTTGTAATTTTCATATGACCAATCATGAATTCTCCCCTGTTGTTGCACATAGATGCTGAACTCCCAGTTGAGGCACAGGAGGTCTGGTATTCATATCCAGGAAGACATCTTCTGCCAACCACTGTCCTGTCGGCTGACCAGAACCTCGCTTGTATATTACTTGAGGGTCGTGACTGGCCCTTATTGGTGCCTATAACTGCTCCGTCTATTCTCCCCTAGGGTACAAAGTAATACTTTAGTGGACTGGGTTCATACCTATGCCTCAGCGGCTAACCACATCTTCTGGGCTTCCATGGTACATTTCTCCTGCTTCTATTGTAAATTGGACTTGGCTCCAGAAATAGTAGATAAGTGGACATCCCTTGTGGATTGCCACCTGGACTGACATCTGTGTTGGGGCAGAGCAGTGGCACTTCCTGCCCTGGCCATTAAGTGGCTACTCCGTATGGGATGGCTCAGTGTGACTCACAGCTGAAGCCGTGGAGTTGGCTGAACCAGCTTCTCTTTGCATTCAGAACCCAAAAGGACAGACCCAGTTGGGCTGGACTCCGACAGGTCTGTGTCTGGCTCTAACTTACATTTCTGGGAGGCACAGGAGGATACATGGGCTGTAGTTCTTCATGGAGCCCTCTGGGTGTGTGGCTCACATGGGTGTCCTTACCTGCCTGGAAATTGGACTGGTTGTTGTACTTGGAGATGGCCCTATTGCCTGCTTGAGTTCAGAAAGCTCTTGTAAGCTGACCAACAAATTTGGAAGCATTTAAAGCACGACACTGAGTAAAGCATACCCCCTGGTGGTGTTATCCATTAGCTATTTTTTTCCTCCTCAAGCTACTTCCATGGTTACTGAAACTGAGATAACCGTTTTGGCTTTACACACTGCACATGCACTGAATTCAACACAATTCCTTAAGCCTGTTAAAGAAGGAAATGTATCGATTAAGAAAAGTAGCCTGGCAAAATCATATGGCTTTAGATATGCTCACTGCATCCCAAGGTGAGCTATGTGCCCTAGTATGAGCAGAATGCTGTGTATGTGTTCCTGATGTCCACAACAATGTAAGTCAAACTTTATGGGCATTAGCCTCTGACATGCATGCCATTGAAAGCCTGATAGGCAATCCCTTGCAAGAATGGTGGGCATCCCTAACCACTGAATGGCAGCGGGTCCTTGCTGTCGTGGGAGGCAGTGCTTGTGTTTTGCTTGCCTATTGCTATTGTGGCTTATGGGTTGAAGGCTCTGTCCTCCTCACCAAAGGAACTTCGCAGAAGATATCCTCACATAGATTGTGCAGAAGGGATGGATTGTAAGGTAAACGGAGGCAATCTGGCTTCCTCATCCAGGTATCTGGGTAACTAAGGGAAGCAGTTTCTCACAACCTTGAAAGGATCTGTTAAAGTAGTGTTCTCATAGCCTTGAGTTTGAGTCTCATAGCCTTGAGACTGGGTCCGATAAACAGTTCCTATAACATGAAGTAGGCTTGCATGTACAGAACCATGCTGTGTTACCTAACAGTTTGGCACTTTACTGGCTTTGCTTGTTCTAGTACTTAAGCAGATAAGGGCTTCTCACTGTGCTCACAGACATGGACACGCAGCTTGTGGCCTGTGTGGTTTGCCCACCCTTGAATAAAGACATGTCAAGCATCCCCACTGCTTCGTGCATTTTCTTCCGTCTGCCTGAGTCTCCTGTGGACCTGCCCAGGCTTGACCAGCTGCAGCATATATAGTCACATTCTTGGAAAATTTGTTTAATAGGTCATAGTTCTACCACATGAAATTAAAAATATCAACTTTTTTTTATAAATAAATGCCTTGAATCATCAAAGACAGTTTTCAAGTTCATCCTGCTTTACACCCTCAAAACTTAACTTCTGTACAGGCTAGTGATTGCAGATCTCTTAAAATTATTACCATTTTAATCTGAATTTATACTTTTTAACTTTCCTTTTTGAAACATGTCACCAAGAACTAGACATACTTGTATACTGCTAAGCAATTTATTATCTCATTTGATGCACATATAACCATTGATTTACATATCATTCTCATTTTCATTAAAGAAACCAACTCATCGGGAAATTAAGAGTCAAGATATACAGCAAGTAGGGGGTAGAGAAGTTTGGTAAACCAATTTTTCTAGAGTTCGTCGGTAAATTATAAAAATAATTATTTATATATAGTATGGAATAAACATTTACTAATTGATTGATATCAGAACATTAAAACACTAAAATAATGTTCACTAAAAATGAACATATACCTTATCTGAAACATGCAATTCACCCATAATTTTGTTTATAACTAGGTATCTAATCCTCCTTCGGAAATACTGCCCTAGTTGCCTGACTTTGCAAATACAAAGGAGTACAAGAATATTCTATTTTCAAATAAAGCCAAGATCAACTGCAGCTCTATATGCCTTTGGGAGCAATATACTCACAGCTATTCCATGGGAAGAAAGTAATAGATGAAGGTACAGAGAATATAGCCTTTGGACAAAGAAGAGGGATACAAAGACCTAGTAACACTTCAGATATTTACACAGGAAAAGAGCATGGATGGCACTATTCCTAGGAGACCTAACCTTAATAATACCCACTGAGTGCATGCCTGTGTGCATGAGTGTGTGTGTACTCATTCAACAAGATACCAGTGAGTTTTGTTAATCATCAGGCCATGCTCTATGCTGAAATAATATTGGTTAATCACCACCAGAGGAATTAGGAGAACTCACTGGCAATTGTGTCTTCTACCAAGAATTGTGAGTAATTGAGAATCCTATTATCTATGTTTTCTAAATCAATGGAAATAATTTTAATTGGAAAGATATCTCTTCTTTACCCTTATTTTTAACATGTATTAAGTAAAACTGCCATTATATTATTTTCCACTAAAATAATAATAAGGTTGTTTCTTTAAAACATTTACATCATTATTGTATTCATGAGTATTATCAATATAGAATGAAACTTTACATATATTTATGTAGATATATGTATATACTCAACTATTTAGGTAAGGGTTATTATTTTTCCTGGCACAATCTTTTTCTTTCATGTTCTGATGAACAGCAGTTCTACCCACCCCATAGCAAATGACACCTCCAGAGCAGTAAGCATAATAATGACCACAATTTGCTTCATTCTTAAAATGCTTGAAACCACATTCTGAAGCATTTTAAAATTGGTTCAAGTGTTTTTCTTTAATATTATATTTTAAGATATTTTAAGCATTCACAGTGAGCTTCAGATAAGAACATTATTCCAATGAATATTCTTTGCTGCTATTATAATATGCAGGTTATTATAACTATCAAGAAACCTACCAACAAGCAGAACGGAAACTGACTCATAGATACAGAGAACATTTTGACGGTTGCCAGGGAGGAGAAGGACTGGATGAATATGGTGAAGGGACTAAGTTACAGAATGGCCAAGGGAACATAAAATACAGCATAGAAAATATAGTCAATAATACTGTAATAACTATGTATGGTATCAGATGGGTACCAAATATATCAGAATGATCACTGAGTAAGTTATACGATGTTCAATCATTGCCTTGTACACCTGAAGCTAATATAATATTGTATGTCCACTGCAATCAAAAAGTAAAGAAATTTGAAAAAAGAAATCTACGTAGAAACTTATATAGACCAAACAATAAAATACAGCCTTTATTTTAAGGCCAGAATTAGGATCTATCCAAGCCAGGTTTCAAGTGACATAAGGAAAATGCACTGAGGAATGAGATCTTCCAGTTTGGTTTATTCCCATGGCTTGATAATAAGCTGGAGAATGAATTTTAAGAATTGTCACCATCAGCTGCGATCCTTCTCTAGGAGAGGAGGAAGTCTGCAGTCTAACAAGACAATTATGTTTTTTTAATAGTTTTATTTATTTACTTTTTTATCGTTCGTGTCCATTTGCCTCCGTTTTCCCACCACCACCACTTTCCCCTACCCACCCACCCCACATCCCACCAGCAATCTTTCCCCTCTTTGGCTTTGTCCATGGGTCCTTTATACATGTTTCTTGACTTGACCCTTCCCTTATTTTCCCCATTATCTCCATGGCTTCTGCATATTTTGATGTAAATAATACCTAGACTTAATAGAAATGCAAAAATGTATTATAGTTGATAATATTAAAAGGCAGTGGGTTACTTAACAAACTGTTTACTTTGGTTTTCTGAAAGTACTAGGTTCTCTGGAAGGTTTTATTGGATATTTGTGGTATTTGCCTATTTGTAAACCATTGGGGGCTCAATAATTACTCTTGGCTCTCCTTGATGGGCTTCCATTTTTATCTAGACGAAGTCAAAGTCAGTTACCGAAAATAAATCATTTAAATATTTTGCTGGTATGAGTACAACATCGTTCTCCAAACTGCCTTTCAAGACATGCTTGAATGAGCCCTGCTCTGTACCCTGCTGTATCCTGCTGCAGAATAAACAGAGATTGTTTATAATGTCGTCCAATGATCAACTTGTAACACTTTATTTTAATAGGATTTGTAACCCATGTTTCAATTAAAAGTAAAATTATTATATTCTTTAGTTTATGTGAATTTTTTGATAGACTAGTAGATTTATGTGGTAATTTTCCAAAGATCAACTTTATTGGAAAGAAGCTATTTCAAGGTTGTTGTATATTTTCTTGGCTTCTGATATGCTTTGATTTTTAATTGCCTTCTCTTATTTAGGTTGCAATCATAGTCATTAATTAGTAGGAAGGTGAGGGACAGCATCATATCTAACTACCTGTTATGGCTGCTTTAATGAGGAAAATAACCTGCCATCATTTTAAAGGCATCCTGTATACTTCACAGATATGGCTTGTGGTAGCATTCTCATTTAGGCTGTGAACATCAAAGGAAATTGATGTCAGGTGTAAACAAGAAGCTGCTGAATATATCTGCTGAGGAAACTGAGTCATATGCCTGGATGGGAAAGAGGAAGGGGAGCTTATAACATTAACAAAACTACAAGTAATTGGTGTAAACTTTCAATGGTTGGCATATGTCTGGGCATAAAAAAATGTTATGTATATTTATGGCTTATAAAACCACAGAAGTTTCAGATATTTCTATGGTTTTCATTTTCTACTTCTATGAAAGACAGGAAAAAAACACAACTGAATAAAGAAAATTTATATAAAAAGACCATTGTTTAGAATAAAAATAAAACTTTTATAATTATAATCAAAATAGCAATTATGTGTTTTAGCTGCCTCCTTTGGTTCCTGATATTTTATTAAATTTGAAGAAGCAAATGGAAAGAGAAGTGGCTGATTAGTTAATAAAACAAAAGAATTTCTTTTAGAGCCAAAATAGGTACTCTGAAGTTACAAAATTTTGAATGGATATTTAAATCTAAACCTAGACATAGTGTGTGTGAGTAATATGCCCAAATAATATTTAAATTCCCCCAAGAATGTGTTATAATACATTATAAAAATAAAAAGTCCTTTTTAAGCAATGCCAAATTATAGATGTACATAGTAGACTGCAGTGGCTTTCAAGGGTTGTTACATGTGGCATTTCCTACATCCATTGACGAATTCATCATTCCAGGATTATTCACTGGTAGCAATATAATTGATTATAACATGCGATTTCCTTGGCTGTGAAAGGGTAGATTTCAATCCCTTACCCATCACTTTAATGTTCTGAAGTTTCTTATCTTTTACTTTCTTTACACAAAAGGTACTATTTTTTATTGTTATTCTATTACAGTTGTCCCAATTTTCCCCCTTTATCCTCTGCTGCCCATCCCACCCCCAACTCCCATAATCAATTCCCACACTGTTGTCCATGTCTATGGGTCATTCATAGATGTTCTTTATCTAGGCCCTCCTCCTTCTTTCCACCATTATCCCCTACCTCCTCACCTCTGACCATTTTTAGTCTGTTTCATGTTTCCATGCCTGTGGTTCTATTTTGTTTGTTAGGTTTTTTTTGTTCATCAGAGTCCTCTTATAGGTGAGATCATATGGTATTTGTCTTTCAGACTGGCTTATTTCACTTAGCATAATATTCTCCAGTTCTATCCATGCTGTTGCAAAAGGTAGGAGTTTCTTCATTCTGTCTGCTGCATAGTGTTCAATTGTGTAAATGTACCACAGTTTTATGATCCACTCATCTACTGATAGGCACTTAGGTTGTTTCTAGCACTTAGTTATTGTAAGTAGTGCCACTATGAACATAGGGGTGCATAAGTTCTTTTGAATTAGTGATTTGGGGTCCTAATGGTATATTCCCAGAAGTGTAATCCCTTGATCAAAAGGTAGTTACAGTTTTAGTTTTTAAAGGAAATTCAATACTGTTTTCCACAGTGGCTGCACCAGTCTACATTCCCACCAACAGTGCACTAGGGTCCCCTTTTCTTCACATCCTCGCCAGCACTTGTAATCTGTTTAGGTTTACTGGCATTGTCTAGAAGTAAGCTTCCCCTCTGTGATTTTTTTCTTGTGCATAAATAATGTTAGTCATTATGCTTATTATGCCTAATATTATTCTTTACATTCACATATGAATATTGGTCACCTATTTGTAGAACTGGGTGATCGGATCCAATTTTCTCAACAACTCCTGATTACAATCAGAATGAATTTGTTTTTTGTAGGATCAGGTCAATGAAATTGACAAGCCTCAGCCTTACCTAAAATTACGGTTTACCTCATGTACTAAACCCTCCAACATGTACTTATAGGATTATATCTTATCTGTTTTATTCCTTTGTGGAATAACCTTTTCAGTGTCCAGTTTCCTAGTGTTTCTATTATTTTCTAATTGTGCAAAGTCTCATAAACTTATATGCTCATAAGTAGGCTAATTTATACTGCCTCTATAAACATGTACATACTTAAATTTTAATTTTAACTAATTAAAAGTAAATTTAACTAAAAATTAGTTTCTCAGTTCCATAAATCAAATTTCAAGTGCTCAATTACCGTATATTTTGTAACATTTTCATCATCAAAAGAAGTTCTTTTAAACAGTTCTGATTAAGGTAATATACTTCTATATCATCTGTTCAGACCACCACTCGAATCATGGTTTTGAAATTCTCACATTTAGGACAGAATAACTTGGCCAATACATAAATCTAGTTGATGTCAGAGATTCAATTCACTTATCTACTTAAAATTCCAGAGACTTTGAAGTATAACAATTTGAGATAACTAACCACTTATTTTTTTAATTAGTTAAGATATTTTATATGAACAACACTTTATCCAGCTTGAAGTAACAATTAAGTGTAGGTATACATTTTAAGTTAATAAAAAATTTTATACACAACCAGGTCTCCATCAGCTTTAGGATAGCAAATTCCTTAACATATGTTTGGTTTGATTGGCCTGAGTTATTTGAGGTACTCAGGCACCAACTTTCTTGGTTTCCAATCCTGGCTTTACTTAATATGCATGTGACTTGGGGTGGTTATTTAACTTCTTTTTCCTCCTTGTAAAATGGAGAAAATATATTTATCTCTTATAGTTGTTGTGAGGATTAAACTAGTTAATATATATAGCACCTAAGAGCAGAGGCTATAGTATCATATTTATTTATTTTCATAATAAATATTATATTTAATTATTTTACTATGACTTTTATCAAATGTTTTGATTATCTGTTTATAGGCCTCATTATCTGACCTTGCCATATATAAAACAGATATTATTTAAAGATTAGGAGGTAAATCATTATAATTGAACTTATAGAGCAATATACTTTTATACGAAAGCCTTCGTGTGTCATGTGAAAGCCTCAGTGTGCCTGTAGCTATGACACAATCCTGAAGCCAACATTTCAGTGGAAAGGGGAGGCCAGATGCATAGAGTCAGGAAAGTCTAGGTTAACATACAAGTTCTATTACTTAATGGCTCTTTATTAATGGATCAAATATTTATTCACTCTAAGCCTGAAGTGTTTTTTTCTGTTAAGAACAAGTTAGTGCTTATCTCAATTGATTGCTATGAGAAGGACTCAATAGGTACTTAGCACAGTTTCTGCTCACTGTAGTCATTCAATTTGCTATGATTATTATATTGTTGATATCAAATCAGATTCTAAGTCTATAAGTTTTAAGTTGGAGACCCTTTATCTATTCATTTATTCACTTAACACATATTTATTGATATCTCACTTTTCAATGCTTCTGCAAGAACTATTCATAGTGCCAAGTATATAGCTGGTATCAAGATAGTCACAGCTTTTTCTCTTGGATTTTATTTCAGAACGGGTGAGAAAATAGATTTTGAAAAAAAATCAGATATTAGTTGTTATGCAAAAAATGGAATATGATAGAAGTATTCAAAAATCTACTTTAAATTGGGAGGTCAATAATGCCCTCTCTGAGGAGGTTACATTGAAGTTAAAATCTGAATAATAAAAAGCTTATATACAAAGTATCCTCTTGTGTTCCTACAGCCACTGATTTATTATATTATGGTAGAAGTTTCATTCTTCACTCCCATGTTATTTAAGCATAGCTAAGAGTTTAAGATACAGATGCTCCTTGACTTACAGTGGGATTATATCCCAATTACAGCCCAATAATCCCATTGTTAGCTGAAATTGTTAGTCAAAAATGCATTTAATACACTTTACTTACCAAACATCATAGTCTAGCTTAGCCTACCTTAAAGGTGCTCAGAACACAATATTCAAAAGACCAGTGGTAACACAGTATTCTGAGAATATCATTTGTTTATTCTCGTAATTGCCTAGCCACGTGCGAACTGTGGCTCGCTGCTGCTGCCCAGCATCATGGAAGAGTACCATACTGCATATCCCTAAGCAGGAAAAGGTCAAAATTCAAAATTCAAAGTACAGTTTCTACTGAATGTGTATTGCTTTTGCACTACCAGAAAGTCAAAAAATCTTGAGTTGAACCACCTTAAGTCGGGCACTGTCTGTATTTAATTTTGGCTGTTATTTAGAATTGAGGCTTGAATAAATTTTCCTATAGCAATATTTATTGTAAGTTTGATATTCCAGAGAAAACACAAACTCCAACTTCAAGTATGGAAATTGAAATACTCTAAACTCACTGAAACTTTACTCAACGTAAAGCCTAATTAGCAGCCCAACTTCTTTCTCTTCTACTCATGTAAAATGGCTATCACTAGAGACACAAAGATAATCTTAATTGTCCAGCCTGATTTTTCTTCTATCCTAATTCTATGAGACATTGCTTCTGTATTTTGCACTGCTGATCATTCCTTGCTTAAAGTTCTCTACCATCTTGATTTCTATCACACTGTATGCTCCTTGTTTTCCTCTCCTTCTCTTAGTCCCTTACTCTTCCTGCGTTGTCCCATCAAATTTCATGGAAGCTGGTAACTCCAAAATCTACCATTTCAGCTCAGAAATACTTGCTTGAGTTTCAGAATTACATCCAATAGCATACAACATATTTTCACCTGGATATTGCACAAGAACCTTAACTTCAGTTCACCAAGTTGAACTTCACCTCCCACAACAAGTTGCCTCTCATAGTTGTTCTCAGGGGATGGCAGTTGTCCCCAGAGTCTCAAGTTAGAAACATGACCTCAAGTTAGAAACTTGATATTAATTTAAATGGTATCCTTCTTTCTAAGGCCATACATTCAATGTAAATGAAAACTCTCAAAATTAAATATACATGGTGAGCAATAGCACTTATGCACACTATTTAAATATTATAGCTGAGTGCATTTCAGAGGGATGTCTATATATAGTGTACGCAGAGTGCACTAGAGAACCGTTCTGTGACAGAAAGATCAACTCTGACTTTTACTTAATGGACCTCTTACTTATTTCACTTTTAATTTGACAGTAAAAAATTAACAATAATGCCTGGTGGCATATGATAATCTATAGGTATTATTCTACTTTCAGTTTTCCTCATAGAGAGGCCTATCGATTTGGAGAGAGAAACACATTATTTAAGCCTGAAAAAGGAAAAAATATAAATACAAATATAGAATATATAAAAGATGAAATAAGTTGGGACAATGTATCCTGGAGAACATATAGCTATTGGGGGGAGGAAAATGATTAACTAACTGTCCTCAAAGAAAAGAAAGTCTACAATAGGAAGTTTCTATATAAACCTTCCCAGAATGCTAAGAAAGAGAAATTTAAACAAGGTGTTGAACAGACTTATTTTGTTTTTTTTTCTTCAAAGCCCAGAGCCTTTGGCTAATTGGACATTTCCTTGTCCTTCAGTGTTTTTTGTTTATTGGTCTGATGAAAACCAAACATTGGTAAGATGCTTCTAAACAGCCTACTAGTCTGTTAGCAAGGACTCAAATGTTTTTTTAAACTTGTTATATACTCCATCCTTTTACAATGTCCCATTGTCCTTATAGTTTTCAATTAAGAAATGAAAGTGTGTAATTTTATTTTTATCTATGCCAATAAATTATCCCCTGATTTTATCTGTGTGCTACAGAGTTACACGATAGGACCAGGCTGACCACCACAGAAATATTCCAAAGAACCCAAACATTAAACCCTCCTAATTTCAATAAAAGTTGAAGTCCCCCCTGGAAGCTCAGCAAAATTTTACAGAAAAAAACCATTAACCATCAACTAGTCACACGTTTTATATGATTCCCATGTATTTTAAGTGCTCACTATTCTGGACAGGTAGGGGATTCTAAGAAAAGCCAGAGCTGAACCCCTGTGTCGTGTATAACATTTCCTCTGTAAAGCTAAACAATAGAAGAGACCTCCCAATGTCTTTCCTTGTGTTTTTTCTGGCTACCTGCGTGAATGTGCAAAATTAAGCAATCTGAAATACTGACTGACCCAAAGAGAAAGCTATTGCATTCTAGGAAAATCCTTGAAATGTCTTCATCATTATCCAGCCAATTTTCTTTACCTCTGTGAGAGCTAATGTCAGCACAACTCTAGATCCCCTCTTTGTCAGAATAATCTTTGTAAACAGAAATGGTCGATCTCAAATGCATATGCACAAACAACTTACCACAAAATCACAGTGCCAGTGCCATGTCCTCAGGTAAGTGCACAAGGGCAAAAATTAGGGAGCTTGAGAGCCAGAGTAGAAGAAATCAGCTAATTAATGTGAGCCTGGGTCAAGTGGAGCAAAAGTTGGAGAATATGTATTGCTACTTTTTAAAAAGCTTTTGAAAAGATGTGAAGATGCATTATCAAAAGGACCACACTGACCAGATTTGTGTCATTTAATGTCAACAGACATCAGAGTAAAATTAAACAGCCAATCAGAGTTTCTCTAGTAAAATTAAAAGCACATTCTGTGGTTGATAACTTGCAATTTTGGGCATTCTAACTTAACAATGCCTAGGTTCCAGCAAGGGTTGCAATATTGAGACCACTTTGCAGGGGGCCTATTTGAAAGATGTACTTAGGGGCTTTAATTAGTTTCTGAAAATTTAAAAACCTTTTGAAAAATAAAAATACATGACTTAATTACTAATTGAGGAAGGTGATGTCAGAGAGTGCTGCAGAGATTGCTAATAGTCCAAAGACCCTCTTCCTGGACAATCACGTATAACTGAATTGCAACAAAGCCAGCACCTGAAATCAGGTTTGGGAGAATGGCATTCTCCTATAGCACAGTGGACTGAGAGAACCTTTGGTCTTTAGAAGGGAAAATGCTTTATACTGACACGTATTATGTCTTCTCATGTCTTCTCTGCAAAGAGAGAAATACACACACATGCACAAAATTTACTTGACTAACCTAGGAAAGCATTTCTTTCTGAAGGAAGGTGAAATGATTAAAGGAGTTCTGGGATCATAGCCATTTTACATATATTGATGTATTGATCCTTATTGTCTTATTAAATCATAAACCCAGTTTAGAAGAATTATGTGAAAAACGAAGTTGCTTAGCAAAGTGTTGAGTGATAAAGGTTATTATCCTTTAGAACACAACTTCAACAATGATAGCTTTCCAGCAGTGATGACTTCCGCATGACTACATTCCTCTCACTAAAATGGTTAGTGACTTTCTGTTAAATTTTCCTCCTTCATCCCTCTCCAGAAGAGGAGAAGAGGAAACACAAGAAGCACTTGGTTCAGAGCCCAAGTTCCTACTTCATTATTGTGAAATGCCCGAGATCCTATAAAATCACCACTGTCTTTACCCATGAACAAATGATAGTTTTGTGTGCTAGTGGCTCCACTGTCCTCTCTCAGAATCCAGAAGGAAAAGCAAGGCTTACAGAAAGATGCTCCTTCAGAAGGAAACAGCACTAAAAGCACCCTGAATCAAAATGAGTGGGGAACCATCCCAATAAACACATTTTGGATACATCCTGTTAAAAAAAAAAGTCAATGATAATCATCAGAACTTGGAGTATGATTCAAATAAAAACACTATACACAAGGTCTGTCTGGAAAATGTTCAATCAATGTTAACATAACAAGAACAGTTTGCGCTACATGATGTAACCTGGCAGCTGAAGAGAGTAGACTGAAATGTGCATGCATGAACAATGATGACTTCACTGTAGGGGCAGTAGATGCTGCCCTGGAGTGAGCATGTGTACTGTGTTGCCATCCCATTCAAAATGACTGAGCAAGTAGAGCAACAAATACTCATCAAATTTTGCATTAAGCTTGAACATTCCTCCACAGAAGCTATTCAGATGATTCAGAAGGCCACAGCTATGGGCAGCATGTGAGGGCAGCTTCATCACAACAATGCATCTGCTTATACATCATGTCTTGTGTAGAGTCTTTTGATGAAATATCAAATCACCCAGGTGACTTAGGCCCCCTACAACCCATATTTGGTGCCCTGTGACTTCTGGCTTTTCCCAAAACTAAATTCATCTTTGAAAGGGAAGAGATTTCAGACCATTGATGAGATTAAGGAAAATAAGATGGGGCATCTGATGGCTATTGGGAGAACTCTGTGAGGTCCCAAGAACTGTGAGAGGCCCCCTACTTTGAAGGGGCCTGAGGCGTCATTGTCCTATATACAAAGTTTCTTGTATATTACATCTTCAATAAATGTCTCTGTATTTCATAGTGCATGGCTGGATACTTTCTGGACATGCCTTGTCTCTCATATATATATGCATGTAAATATGTTTTTCAATCAGGTAGAGTATAGGAAATAGTCACTTTCTCTGAGTAGTAATAGGGTTTAATTTGCATGTGTTATTATTCAATCAACCATTCATTCAATACATTTTTTGAGAATACACTTCTATTTGAGGGGCTGACATTGTCTGGAAAGAAGGCAGTGATGTACTATGTTCCCTACTGACTAGATGATACAAATATATCCCAATTGACCCTCACATTTTACTAATTTTATGTTATCTCTGTTCTGTGGAAAACTGAGAAGAGATTCAAGTTAACCTATTCAAGGTCAGGGAGCTGGGAAATAGTGAAAGCAGAACTTGAACTCATCTTTCTGACATCTAAGTAACACAGATTCTCCTTACAAGGAACTCACTGCTCCTCCCCGCAACACGCAGTGATGGGAATGGTGTTCAAAGTCCAGTGTTTCAGACTGAAAAGTATCACAATTTTTTATACACTCATTCTAGCATTCTTAGGGAAAGCCAAGAAGACATAGGCTCATTTGAAATATATCAATTTAACTGTCATTCTGTCTCTGTATAAGTCTTCATTTGTGAAAAGTATTTCTTTTTCTGATGAACATTTGCATTTTATTTATTCATTTGCTTATTAATTTAATTAAATCCCTTATTCCAAAAGAGACTTGACCCAATATTTGTACTATCTACTCCAATATCTATATGCATGCTTCTACATATGTATAAATTTCCTTTTTTAAGTATTTTTGACAATATTATATTCAGTAATCATCAAAAACAGCTGTTTCCTTAAAAATACACACAACTTATTTGAGCTCTTGAGATTATAAAACAAAATAAAAGAATAACAATAACCTATATAGCCCTTGAGTCTTTGGTAAAATTTTAATACTGACTCCAAAGAAAATCAGTCTAAGTTATCTAGAAGTTCATTTACTTCCTTTAAGGTAGCCACCTACTTGTTAAAATCCCTAGGAAAAGGAAAATTCTGTTTTCTTTAGAGAACATGAGTAAAATATTTGCCATGGAGGCATGGAAATCAAGTAGTAAGGATGTGAAGCTGACAATACCGATGTAGATAATATAATTTTCAAACGAGCACCTTTATTGGTCTAAGAAAACCAGTAACCTCATTTGTCTCAAACTAGACAATCCTCTAAATTCTTAGTTTATCTTTTTACAGATAGTGTCCTTTGGTCAGGAAGATCAAGAAGTTTTGCCAAATACACGATCTTGTGGGCACAAAAACAAAGCACTCCAAAGCAGGTAGTCAACTGTGAACAGGTCGGTATGGTGTTTTAAAGCATTTTTTTTTTCAAATTTTTTGACACTTCTCCCATCTAAAGGCCAAGTCTAATGCTCCTCCTCCTGAATATGGCCAACCTTAGTGACTCATTAACACAGATATAACCTGCATGGCTTTAGAGGTTAAGCTAGAAAAGGCAAGGCAACATGGCTTCTACCCAGCTCTCCCTCTTGGAACATGTGTCCCTTGGACAAGCCACCCTGTTATAATGAAGTTCAGCCTCCACAGAAAGCCATGCATAGATGTTGGAGCCACAGTCAGGGCTGAAGTGCTAGCTGACACCCAGCATCCACAGCCAGCTAGTGCCTTTGAGTACCCCAACTGAATCCAGGGTGAACAGAGATGAACTATCATCATAAGCCTTGTTCAGATTTCAGATTTGGCAAACAAAGTAAGTGTTGTTGTTGGTTTAAGCCACTGAGTATTGGGATGATACGTTACTTAGAAGTAGATGAAGAAATGCTGAGATCAGAGACTTTTCCAACACCCCTCCCATAAGTTCATTTAGGTGACTGCCTCTGTAACCTGTGGATGCTGGGTATTCAGAAGTTGGATGCTTTTGTAGGGGCTTCAGGTCAAAATATATAAATGTAATCTTTATTTGTTTAACAAAGATACTTAATTTGTATTTGAGTGAGATCTGTCTTTACCCACCTCTGTCAATATCCACTTCACATCTTCTAGTCCCTGGATGGCCATGGGTGTGTGGTAATAGACAACACCTGTAGCACATACTAGGGATATAACATTTGATAGAATTGACAGCTTTTTAAGCAAGATGTTTTGTGGCTTCTTGCCCAACACCTAGAACAGGGCCTGGCATACAGCAAATCCTGAGGTTCTTTGAATGAACATTGAAATCACCTGTGGAGTCTAAAAATATGCATGCTGAGTCCCTCCCTCAGAGAAGTTGATTTAATTGGTCTAGGATGTGACCTGGCATGGGGACTTCTAAAGGCTCCACCGAGGATTTCAATATACAGTGAACTTTGAGAGCTATTCTCATAAAGCTCAACTTGAGAACCTCAAGTGCTCTTAAGTCTGAAGCTCACAATAAAGGTAGTGGAGAAGTTTTGCAGCTATGTTTAAAGGAACAATGGTGTATCTAGTTGATGAAGCTCTTCCTTTGGGGTTTGTTTTCTACTTTACCAATCAGGCCCAGGAAATCTAAAATTAATGACCCTTAAAGAAGTAATGAATTACACAAAGATAATCAATTTTAAACTCAACTCAATGCAGACATCCTTTTAAAAAATATTTATTTATTTTTAGAGAGAGGAGAACGGAGAGAGAGGGGGAGAGAGAGGGAGAGAAACATGGATTGGTGGTCTCTCACATGCCCCCATCTGGGGACATGTCCTGAAACCCAGGCATGTGCCCTGACCTGGAATCGAACTGGCAAACTTTTGGTTTGTGGGATGACACCCAGCCCAGTGAGCCATACCAGTAAGAGCCAAACATCACTTTAGTTGGTTTATATATTATAAAAATATTAAGTTGAACCTGCTAGGTACTAGGACTGGGGATACAATTGTGAACAAAACCAATCTAGTTTTTGCTTGTACAAACTTTTTTGACTAGTAGTCATCTCAGTTCATTTTGAATGCTTTGCATCCTGGAAAACCATTCAATTTTAATATAAATTTCATGGCAGACACTGTTTTAAGGGCTTTGCATATAATATCTAGTTTATTTGACAATCTATAAAGATGCATTTACCCCTAATTAGAAGACTAGATACATACAGTTAGAAGAGTGTCTACCCAGATCCTGCCCAAATGTGTGCAGCTAGCAAAGGCGAGGGATAAGCTATAACTCCAGGTCCAGCTGACACTAAATCTCATGTTTTCATCATCCCACTTTTTTTGAACAGTTGTAATAACTAAAAATTCTGAAATCTTACACTGATCTCCAATCAACTGCCTAGGAAATTTGTACTGCTGCTCATGATATGGTTCTGAAGTCTAAAGCAATATCAGTCAGGCCTTAGACCATGATGATTCTGATTTTGGAACCTAGAAGCATATATGTTCATGTTATTTTTTTCACTCCCGATAACAACCAAACTGGTCACTTTTTTCTGGATTTACACTTGTTAGCCAATGACCTACCTACATTCTTTTTCTTCCTTTTTTATAGTAGTAAACATCTTTGTCCCCCCCTTTTTTAATTGTTCAAATACATTTGTCTCCATTTTCCCACCACTATTTTCCCCTGCCCCACCTACCTCTACCTCCCATTCTCAATCCTTCCCTACTTTGGCTTTGTCCATGGGTCCTTTATACATGTTATTTGACTTAACCTTTCCCCTTCTTTTCCCTGTTACCCCCCTCCCTCTTCCCCTCTCATTACTGTTAGTTTGTTTTTTCTTTCAGTATTGCTGGTTATATTTTTCTTGCTTATTTGTTTTGTTGATTAGGTTCCACTTATAGGTAAGATCATATAGTATTTGTCTTTCACTCCCTGGCTTATTTCGCTTAGCATAATGCTTTCCATTTTCAGTGTGGCTCGTTGGATTGAATGCTGGCCTGTGAACCAAAAGGTCGCCCGTTTGATCCCGGTCAGGACACATGCCTGAATTGCAGGACAGGTCCCTGGTTGGGGTGTGTGCAAGAGGCAACTGATGGTTGTTTGTCTCCCTTTCTCTCTCTCCCCTCACAACCCTTGTACATTCTATCACTGATAATTGCACATATCTTTATCATGCCTGGTGGTTTATTAATTGCTTTCTCATAATGTCTCATTCAATATTTACAAAACTCTTTTATAAAGTATATATTTTAGTGAAGGAACCAATAATCAGTGAAATAAGATTATTGTGAGATAATACAAATTTGTGTGTGTGCGCGTGTGTGTGTGTGTGTGTGTGTATACATCTCCCTACTACCTGGCATAGAGAGAGTTTCTAAAGCCATTATAAATTTCAAAGTGATAATGTTATCAGTGGAAAACA